AGACGTACAATTGAATACAGACACTTGGATTCCAATTTAAGCTGTGGCGGATGTGGTGTTTGAATGAACTAGTAACTTCTTGTTGCTGTTGAATGCTTGATTTCGAATTCTAAATACAGTACATTCGTTTGTGCTCATCCCGTAGTTCTTGATTCACATACTTCTAATCATCATATTAGAATAATTCTCTTTTTAAGAATGACTACTTAGATAATTCCGAATTTCAGGTAGATGAAGAAATTGAAAATTGGAATCCTAAACACCTAGACAGACAAACAACGTGTGGTGGGTGCAATGGATAGTAAACACGTTTATTGTATTAACAAATATTTCATGTTGTGTTTAAGTCTGATACAATAATACGATCCAGGTCATAATGCATGCGTAAAATTTGAGTTTTTGCTCGTGTCTTGTCGCATTTCTTGATATATTTAGGTCATTACTATTTCGAGATGTTACTGCAAATTCTTAGGTTACCATTTCTTTTTATAGTGATTTATCTATTTCTCGGAATTCCACCAGCTGTCTATGTTTCTCATAAACTACATCTACCCTGTTTCTCTACGTTTTTGTTATGGCAGTTTCCATAATGACTAGTTTCATCATTTGACTTATTTGCTCGAACTGACTAGATTTATGAATTTTTTTATTTGCAAAGTGAAGCATACCTCCTAAATTGTCAACACTCATCGTTGTGATAAGTAAGTAATGATACTGTTATCCATAACATTTTTGTAAAGTTAAATATTGCCATTTCAACATACAGTATGTGATAGACCAAGAAACGGTAGAATGACATGTTTAATTCAGGGAACTGAGAATCACTTTACGTCAATCTCTCTTTTATCTGCTTAATAAAATTTAGAAGCGGTTTTCTGATTTTCCTCAACAATTATTGGTTAAATAACTGGGTGCTAAGATTTGTTAAGGTAATAATGTACATTTAAACATGCAACTTTATATAGAACCGATTCCTACCTAACCATTTTGTTACGCATTTCGAACTGCTTTAGTTTGAAGTCTACTTTCTTCATCTTAGAACATACTGTTTTTAAAACTATAGCAGTTGGTAAATCCCTAAAATTAATAGTTCTGTATGTCCTCGATTTTGGTGCTGACATCATTTTATCACCGGCTGAAGACTCTCGGTTAGTCGTCTACTTCATATTATCTTTGGGTACGTCGTGCTTTACTGTCAGCCTGTCAGAATATCTGGGCTACTTGTTTGCTAACATAAATGTATTTCAACAGGATACCTTTCATTAGTTTGTAGTGGAATGCTTTTACGAAGAGAGCACAATTACTGAAATGGGAACACTTGTTACTGTTAACAATTATAACCATAACTGTTTTATTGTACCCCTTTTTGTTTATCTGCACTTAAGACCATAACTCGCTTGCCAAGCGTGTTCCTACTGTTTCATGTTTCCTTGGAGGTTGTTAGCTGCTGCTTTATTCCGGTCTTGATATCTTTTCGATATCACGAGATCACGAATCAATACAGCGCGTCATCCAATCACGGGATTCCCTTTGATTTCTGGATTTGACGGGATTTTACTTGGTAATCTCGCGATAAGTAGTCTCAATCTCTCTATAAGTTGTTTTAGCACGTCCATTATGTCTAGCAATCGCATAAGCTTATGCAGGTATTTTTAAATGGCTTACTAGCTGTCGCTTGCCAAGTTTCGAAAAAGTAAGATCCAAGACATCTGAGTTGCCTGCGGTCTTCTAAGAAAATAACTTATGTTGATTGGATGTTGATTCAGAAACTGCCTTACTTCATATTACACTAAACACGATGCAGAACAAAGTCATTATCACTATTATAATTATGTAATTAGTCAGCTACACATTTATTATCTTACCGACTATCTTCCAAATATGTCATCAAACTCCTTCATTCTTGACTGCTCTCTTGGAGCATCGTTCATACAGCGCTGTCAAGCATCAAACATTCGGGACGTCCTTGACCATCAGTCTTACATGACACAGTATACTGAGAATAAACTGTAAATTTATCCCTTGTCGTAAAATGATACATACATGTATGTATATACATTCTGAGGTTTGATTTCAGTTCTCACACTTTTGCGCCTATTTATAAAGTCGTAATGTATTCCAACATTAGGACTCACGCTCTCATCATATTTTAGCTCATGCCGTTCTAGTCTTAAAATACTGAGGCTTGTTAATGTTAAGCAGTAGCTGATACCATGGCGTGATAGACACACGTTTGCTCTTTCTTGCTGAGTGAAGGCATTACCTCGCTAGTTCAATAAGCACGTCACACGTTCAAGTTATGTTTAGGACCTTATGACACTAAGAACGTTCATCCTCAAAGGTTGAGAAGTAACCGATCGGTAAAATTTGCATGAAAGTATCCATAATATCTACAAGTAATATAAACTGAACACTGAAGGGTTTTTACATGAGCAGTGACTCAACTGTTATGAAGAGAAGGCGAGTGGGTTAATATAAATATTCGTTATAATAATCAACTGTGCCAGTAATTGTTTTACTGGACCTCTTTGTTTATTACTACTGTGTACGCGAAAACTTTATGTTTGTGTTGCTGCCATTTCGGCTCCACTGTCTCTGTAATTTCGCCCCTCTCTTATGGCGCTAATTAGGTATTCTTTATATAGAACGAAGTCATCAGAAAATAAATTCTTTAGTATGGATAAACGCTTTTTCTCTGTGACAGGCACGTAATTGGTCTGCAGTGGAGATCTTGGTCAATTTCGATGAGCTATTACACATGTGTGAGCGGTCACTGTTCAACGAAATTTTTACAAGATTAATTAAGACGACTCTTTTAGTCTAGACTTCCAGATTATGTCCAAAACGTTTTCGTTTCACCCCAAAATAAGACCGTAGATCAACTGATTGCATCTACCGGTTGTATTCTAGTAGACTTTTTGAGGCACACTGAAAACGGATTGTTAATTAAGGCAGAATTTAAGGTTAATCAGGCCCATCTACTGGATTTCACAATACACAGACGTATCACTCTCAATTATTGTCATAGACTTGCCACAGCATAATGACCTACTGGTAAACGTAGTTAAAGCTAAGCTAAATCTCGGCGCTATTTGTGATAAAGTAAGATCCCTATGGTGAGAATCAAATTAGAGTTCCTACGCTCTTCCACGTTTCTGGATTTAACTATGTAATCTCGTGCTCTGTTACAGCTCTAGTGTCTGAAATTATACTGGTTGGACAATGAAATACACTAACACAGTGATCACTCATATAAATTCGTGACTGACCCGCACTGTGTCTGGATCCAAGCTGAATGTAAGTGTTCGGTTAGTTATATTATTTTTCGTGACTGCCATTTAGACCAGATAAGTCAAGTCACAAAGCTCAGTTATTTCAAACAACCCGTTTCATCTTCCTGGTACTGAAGTCATGTTTCATGCGATGTTACCAGCAGCTGCTTATTGACTCGCGATTTACCGTAGCCCAAGTAGAAATATAGCACCAAAAGATTCAATCTACAATTCACATTCTCGAAATTTCGAATCTAAGAAGACAGTTGTGCTGCTTCTCATTGAATGGTTTTCAAGGTATCAAATAAACATGGTTATCCATACCCTATTGGTAATCAAAAACTGAAGATTTCTAACAGGTTTTCGTAATAACAACGATGCATGGATTAAAAAATATGTGAATATTTTCCAGGAAAACTAAAATATTTCGAATAAAGAACAGGAATTGGATGAAAAAATAAGGTGAAAGGTGCCATGAAAAATTAGTTCAAAAAACAGGTCATTAGTTACAGCTGCTTAAATATAAGCAAGATTGGTTAGGGTATTATGTTGTGAGGGGTAAGATTCAGTAATCTTATAGACAACAGTATACTTGCTGTTGCAGGCTAAAAAGCCCGCGAAAGGTGTTTTCTGATGTTTTTTGACTGTAACATCTTATATAGGCTCTATGGACAGTTTTGGAACATGATGAAAATGGCTATCGCTGAAAAGTATACAGATGTATTAAATTTGAACAATCTTGTGGAATGAATTTCAGGACAAAGTTTAGGTCATACAGATTCATCCCTAACTGTTGGCCGATGTGACGTGGAAAATGCGAAACAGTAATCAAAAATCCTCCTCAGTATCAGGATCCCTAAGTCACTTCTAGATCATTATCAGTCCAGAACGTGAAAGAATCTTTCTTCCTACCCTTCCTCTCATCCAGAAATCCACAAGCTCCTCTCTTCAAAGTTTGTATGTGTTCCAAACAACTAAGTTTACATACCAATCAAACAAGACCACACCACATCAATGAACGAGAAAATACATGAGCATTTCAAAAGTGGACATGAGTGCTATACTGAGTGATATACTGATCAAAGATTAGAATAGTCAGTCGTACAAACTTAGTGACTGGATCAATCAAGAGCTTATAAATAGAGGGATATAAATATATAGTACAGTAAGAATATTCACGGAAAGGGTCCATAAGTAAGTCCTAAGAGTCATCATCTCCCTACACTTCCTCCAGATATAGCACTGGCGTTCTCTCAGTGTGCACCCGTAATGCAAATTTATAGTCTTGATATTGTAATCAGTATAGATTTCTGGTATTTTAAGAACATTAACAGCTAGGCAGCAACTAAAATATGTTCAAAGGTAAAAGTAAGTCGATAAGGGCACATCTATGAATATAGACAAGGAGTAACCTAAAAATATAGGGACAAAAAGAATGCAATGAAATCGAAAGAGTCACCACTGAACTTCCAGAGGTTACAAAACATGAAACGATGGTTCGCAATAGACAAAAGCATCAATTCAACATACGATTTTAAATTTTACAAACTGGATATGATTCAAGTATAAGTGGGTCTCCGTATAATGATGTGTGAATAATTGCTTCTATATAAAACCGATGTGAAGGTTTTCGTTCTACTCACCATCTTTAAACTACAGTAATAATTGTTGTTTGACTTCACTAGTCAGCATCAAGCAACCTTGTAAGGGTCGCGTTACTAGTGGCGGCAAAGACGGTGTTCAAGGTATGTTGTTGTTTCTGTGTTCTCCCGCTCTTTTTTGTTTCTTGTTGACAATAACCTCGAGATGTTTAACAAACAATATTTTCCGTCTGTTTTTGGTATAAAAATTATTCATGAAGCTGGCTTAGCCACACTGTTTTCATGATATTATGTCGTGTTTCTGAAAGTGTGATGTAGCTGTGTAGTGTGTGTAGCTCTAGTTTTCACTGACCAAATTATTTATGAAACAGAATTTTACCTAGTGCTTTTTCGTTTTATTTCACTACTGGGCCACTTTTATCTCAGCGCATATTAAAAATGAATAAAAATGCTTATCATATTCCGGTCATCTCAGGGTTCTGTCTACTTATTGTATATCTCTGAAAGGAATAAAATCCATCTAATGTTTATCGATTCATGTGGCAGTTTTAACCTATCATCAGATTGCCTATTTAGTGTGAATCTATTAACATCCTCGATAGTTTTATTTCCAATAGAAATTAAACTTCGACACTTCTCATCAGATGTAAAAATGTGTTGTTTATGAGTAAGAATTGATAAATCTGTGTTACAAAGCTTCTTTCAGATCCTCGCGTTTTCTACTCTTTCGTATAGTAAGTGTCGAGGTCGTTATACCTTTTTCTAGTAAATATGTGAGTTTTCTTCTAAATGTATCATCTCCATTAGCAGTAATTCTTTTACTATCTCTACCACTATGGTATTTGAATTGAAAATTGTTTCTCTGTGCTAGTGTTGTATGGCAACATGAACTGATGTACTTACGTACGAAGCTCTATGTTGTAACTTACTGACTTAAATAAATCTTTTGATAACTTAATCACTGCCTTCTCTGTCTTTTGTTTATTCACACTCGGCTAAAAGAGAAAAAGTAAACTTCGCTTAGCCCAAGGTCACTCATCGACACAGTGAATGTTGCGCACACAGTACTTTGTCTATTATACAATTAAAAGTTAAGGTCGCAAGGTTTTATTTATGACTGTCCACTTTTCGCAAGTCCGTGGCATCCAAATTAACTTAGCACAACACTTACTCAGCCCTAAATTTATAAAAATTACTCATTTACGTAAATCGTAATACAACGAGAGCATGTTTGCTACAATTTAAGCTCCTTCGTAATTCCATTATTACCACGAACGAATCTGCCATGTAGTCGTAGAAATCCCAAACGCACCGAAAGGAAGTTCCATCCCAATATGGGATTCCTTAGAGGTTGTTTTAAATATGTGTCATGCTGTTTGTTTGTTCACGGGACGAAACCGTTTTTTCAAAAATTTTATCCTTCCTGGCAAGTCTGGTGTTTGCAACCATTCAAGTTCATAACAAAAAAGAAATTAATTTGCTAGCAATTTTCTTTATATTTTATTGTATATAAAAGTGAGTGACACAACCGCGGACTAGCAGTGAATAAATACCAGCTGTTTTATTTTGAAGATACTCTGAAGAAGCGAAATTAAGCTTCCGATAGTTGCGGTAACTCATTTTATATATACAGAGTTAGTTTCACAATTATCTAACCTAAGCCACATAACAACAGAATCATTAGTTGCATGTGGGGAAACAAGTGAGTAGCAAGTATGCTTGTCGCTCGAATCCAAAGTCGAATCATTCGCAACTCAAAATAATTCTGAACACAGATTATATATATGCCCATTACTTCTCTTTAAAATCATAATCTTTTGAATTCTTCGTGACGTGTTCCTCCTTTCAAATTTATGTCATTGGAATATACTTCTCGAATCATGTCTTCCAACTCTAACCTTTATTACTGCTACTTCTACTACCTATACCACTATAAAACCTGAATCGACAATTCCATCTCTCTGTGCTCATGTGGTATAGCAACTTGAACTGACGTACGTACGAAGTTCTACTTTGTAACTGGCCGATATATATATATATATATATATATATATATATATATATATATATATAATAAACCTACCTTTTCACTAAATCAGAGTCAGGCGTAAAAAATCATCTAGAGGATTCAGTTTTACGTGTTGATAAACCATGTTTAATTATGGGTATTGTGATCACAAATGCTGTAAATAATATTTAGTGACTGAAACTTTACAGATACTTGCTATTGTAAAATGCTTTCAACTATAAGACTAAACGATTGTGTCTGAAACGTGTTAACTCAATATTCGATACTGTCTGTAACTTGAGCTATGTTCTAGATAGTTGGAGGTCCCCCAGTTACTATCTTTGGTTCTGGTAATCAAGACTTGAAAAGTTCAGAATGCGTTCTGTCACAGTTCCAGTCAATTCACCTTATTGACATGATCTGTAAACATCCTAATTTTCGGTGCCAATATTCTTCCTATCCAATTTTATTTTCTGTTCCTATTTCATCAGTGTAGTATGTGTCTCGATAGTATTCCTTTAGTGTACTGTTTCCTGCTATATAAGTTTTTACAAAATCTGATTTTATGTTCCAGCAGAAAATTGTTCATAACGATTTTTTTACGAATTGAGCGTTTTTTCTGTCTGGAAACCTCCTTATAAGTTATAATTGGTTGCATTTTGATACTTTAAATTGTGTTTTTTTCGACGAAATTGTTTTTTATTTTCACTAATTTTACAGAAATCAAATTTAAATGACTAATCCTATGCAAAGTAATCAGTCGTAGTACAAAAAATGATAATGAAAGAAAATGTCGAAGATTTTCCCATGGGTGAATTTCCTGTATCATCTACAAACCGCGCTCTATCATCATCATCATTCCCTGATTTAGTCAGTTCAGAATTGTATATCCCACATCCTACGTACATTCTTCCTACATGCTCTTCAGATGAATCAAATGATAATTTAATTTGCATGAATTTTGAATTGAATCATTATTTAAAAGAGGCTATGAATACTATGTATGAATTATTTCAATGTCAAAAATTAACTGATGTCACATTATGTGTTAATTCAGAATCCATTCAATGTCATCGAATAGTTTTAGCTGGTGCTTCACCATATTTTCAAGCTATGTTCACTGGTGAAATGCGTGAAGCACTTTTACCTGAAATTAAATTACATTACATATCGTCAACTGCCTTAAAAAAGTTGATCGATTTCGCGTACACGGGTAGAATACAAATAAGTGAAAGAAATGTATGTGAATTACTCATAGCTGCATCTATGATTCAGATGTCTCATGTTGTTCAAGCCTGTTGTAGTTTTTTAAAGCATCAGTTACATCCTTCAAATGCTATTGGAATTCAAGAGTTCGCACAGTCGAATAATTGTTCTGAATTATCGTTTGCTGCTCAGAAGTTTATTGATCAAAATTTTAGTGAAATAGTAAAACATGACGAGTTTCTAGGACTTCATCCTAACCAACTTTTATCCTTGATCAAACGTGATGAATTAAATGTACGGACTGAAGCGGAAGTATATAATGCTGTTATCAGATGGGTAAATCATAATAGAAATTCGAGATTATCTACACTGCTTGAGGCTTTATCTGCTGTTAGATGCTATACACTTCCTCCTACATTTATACAAGGGCAAATAAAAAATTGTAATCTGCTTGCTGGTTTCACTCCTGCAAAATCTCATTTACAAAATATTCTCGATGATCTTATTAAACATCGTCATATCTCTGTAAATAAACGGACAGCTGGTTCAATAGAGGTATATTAATTATAATTACTACAATGCTGACAGATTTGTGTGTAAATGTTTATATGTCATATAACTCAGTGGTTAGGTAAAGATTTAAGTTCTCGTCTTTGAGTTACGTGTTTCGTGTAAAGATTACTGGCAAATTTCAGTTACTGAAACCATAGTGAAGCTTGATTAAAAGATCCAACTCAGTAGCTTATTGTCAAGCTTTTTAAACGGTAACTTTTTATATAATTAGAAGCAAAAATAACTATCTTAATGTAAGTGATAAAACACTGAGGCCATTAAAGAAATGCTTTTTAATTTAGTGGTTGAGTTGTTAAAGCATCAGCTTTAAATGGTTGGTTTGCATGTTTAAAACTTCTTTTTCTGGTTGCTTTGGTTTGCGCAATCTGGTAATCTCAATAGCCTTCTCATAAATATATGGTTCGTAGTTGTGTATATTAACCTGGCCCTGTAAAATTAGTTATATTGATAAGAAATGCTACTTTAACACAAATGCATACTTTTGTTTCAAAATAGAAAGCAATACTAAAAGTGTTTTCTCTTATTTTAGAATGAAAAATACCCATTTTCCTACCACAACATATTTCTTCCTATATCCATGTATATGTTTAAAATTGGTTTTTTTCTTTTCTGTTAAAGGATTACTAAACTATTTATGGTAGTAAGCTTCTTGTATTAACCCTATCATGGGGTCTTTCTATCGTAAAATGTACATAAACAGTACATCTATTCGAACACTACGGGTTGAGTGAGAGCTTATGGCGAACTGTCTTCGGAATTCTTTACTTCAAGTGGTGTCCATTAGGGATGTCCACTTTCTCCGTTCTTGTTTAGTTTTGTCATTGACATGCCTCTAGATATAACATTATCCTCGTCTGAATTTTCAGGAGTCGACCTTCTACCAGGAAAATCAGTCAGTCAGTCAGTTGCAACGTAGAACTTCGTACGTATGTACATAAGTTCATGTTGCCATACCACATTATTAGCACAGAGACGCAAATGTCAAATCAAATCCCATGGTGATAAAGATGGTAGAGGTATTAATG